TCATCGTTAAGCAAGTGAGAACAAAGATCAGATTACTCAGAATGCACAAGACTACTTTGTCCAGTTACCTAACATAACTAGCTCCTGTCATCTATTGCTTTCTGGTTTTAAGCTGTTACGGATTTTTGTAAATGTAAGTGGAAACATATATTTTGGATTTTGAAGACAGGAATATGTAATGATTACGTAAATGAAATAATGAAACTTGGAAAAGGGAGATAATCTTCAAATCATGTTAAAGGCTCAGATAATTCTATCAATAACTAATGTAATTGTATGGAGAATTACATATATAATGGACGGAGAAAAACCATTATATACAATGTACAAAGCTGTATAAGACAATGTCCATATTCGGTTACGGTTCACTGACCTAACCAATCCCGGAATTGACGATAACAAATGGATCAGTATGTCTAATTGTATGAAATCTTGTTACAGATTAACATGGAGAACAGGATTTAGGCATGTCAGAGTGAAACGAAGAAAACCAATGTGAGTCTCCCTGCATGGCCCCACTTCCCAACGAAATATGTACACCTGTTCCCAACCTAAAACGCCACAGAGAACAATAAAATTTGTTAAAATGTCGGGGACATGTGTATGTTACTATTGAACATACAGTAAAGAATTTCGTATGTTAAGTTCAGCATTTACTTAAACAATTCGCTTCAAATGAATTAAATCTAACTACTGTTGCATTGTGGAAGCCAATAGCTGAGTAAAGAATAAGGGAAGGGTGTACATATTCCGTTATTATATTGGATCTATTTACCTACTTTTTTATGAATCTTACTTTCCCCACACCAAGAAAACGCGAATCTATAAATGGAGGTTAAAGAGAAGATAGCTGAAGGGTATGTATACGTAAGTATGGCCGATTTATCTGAAATCCTGTCCCTTATTGTATTGTTTGATGGCAATGAAATAAAAGGATGAAAATCCGAGTGTTATATGTTGATCGATGAACGACATTTTCACAAGGCAAAGAGAAGAAAAAACGAAGATCAATGTAAGTACCCAGCATGCATCCCACTGTCCTTTTCCGGTTATCACTAACATTTCCAGTTCCTGTCATCTTTCTTGTTCGTTCTCGTGTTGATTGCTTCTACTAAATTCCAAAGAATGACGAAAATGAGACATTTTCTCTGGAATCAACATAATAAATTGTTTGTATTGACACAAATGAAAGTGGAATTTGTTTCTACAATATGACAATATTTCCCAGCCATTTCTAAGTCGTTTTATACTATGGTAGGCCTATATGCACAATGATGACGTCACAGGGAGGTACTGTGCAAGAATTTCCAAACAAATGACGACTATATGTGTTATTTTGTTTGTCATCCTGAACTGAATGAAAAACAATAATATGACGTCACAGCAATATGCACAATGTATATGTATTGAACTTTGATGGCTGAAAACATTGGTAAATAAGAACAGACGATCTTGATAATTTTTTTGTCAAAAGCTTTGTGCATAAGATGAACGGACTCGACATCATATACTTTGACAACATACAGGAAAAAAATCATCCGGGTAAGATTCAATACATACAGCGATACTGGTTGATGGTAAATACCCATCATTCGGGTTAGTAGTAAATGCCGCTAACGAGGATTGATGATAAATATCAATTACTGGAGTTGATAGTAAATACCCTTCACTGGAGTTGATAATGAATACCCATTACCGGAGTTGATAGTAAATACCATTCACTGGAGTTGATAATAAATACCCTTCACTGGAGTTGATAGTAAATACCTATCATTCGGGTTGATAGTAAATACCCATTACCGGAGTTGATAGTAAATACCCTTCACTGGAGTTGATAGTAAATACCTATCATTAGGGTTGGCAGTTAATACCCATCACCGGAGATGGTGTTGAATACCAATCACTTTGATTGACAGTGGGGAAATAATTTCTGTTACACCTGGTCCTTATGATCCTGAAAAATTTCAAGAAAAAGTTTATCGCTAATTTATTCTCGCTACGAATTTCGGGCTTTTTTATTTTATTTTTATTTTGTGGCGAAACAATTCGGTTTTGGATTGGCAAGCAGAACCATTAACCAAAACGAATACAGATGACAGGTTTTGAGCCTTTCTACACAATCCGTCCGGAATTTGTTTTGAAGGGAGAAAAGCGTGCCCTTTTATATAAAACATGGATGTAGAAATTTTGTATGTTCACACAACACAAATGAGTGTCATCAGTGATGAAGAAAGCGATGTTCAAGAAGGTATTTTGAACAATTTCAGTGTAGATGGGTTTCTCAAAAAAGTTCATGAATATGTTTCAAGATATCTAATAGAATGAGGCTTTTTACATTTGAAAAGCTAGGAAGTTTAAAGTAACACATTATTATTGTTTTGTTCAGCTTGTCCTATTTACAGTAAAAACATGTTCTGATGACGAAATTTTGACCAGAAAAGAGAACTATTTGTCGAGGGATAGAAAATGTGATATGACAATCTGTTTCATATTTTTTCTATTTGATTTAATACAAAAAAAAAAACAAAAAAAAACAAAAAACAAAAAATGAATTTTCCTGTGTGTGATTTTGATTTTACACTTTGTAGATATACTGCGATTGAATAACTTTTGATGGTAATATGATCAACTATAACGTATCAGATTATCCCAGCGTAATCCTACAGAAGTCCTGCTGAATGGAATACAGCGGATGTGCAGTATTTATAATGTTGGTAAGTATATCGAAACAAATCATGCTTCGACCGGAAACCATCATTTTATATCATTTCCGGTTTCTGTTTTTCTTTCTTGTTTGTTCTCGTGTTGATTGATAATTTCTACTAAATGGAAAAGAATGACAACAATAAAAATTAAAAGCCTTGTAACTATAACTATGACGTCATCATTTCTCTCTTGTTTTTTTCTATGTTATAAGCAACATTGACGTCACAGGAAGTAACATTACTTGATATTACTCATGGCGTTTATCGTTTTTCTGTCGTTCTGTACTCAGGTAGAGACAACACGATGTAGTCACAGGACTGAAGACAAAGAGACAGACATATGTTTGATGTCTGAAATGATCAGTAAGTAATAATACATAAAATGATAAGTAATTATCCTGATCAGATTTATTCCTAGGATATACGGACTCAACATTCCATATTTGGAAAATCCACCAGAAGTTACTACCTTTCCGGGACGAGTTGGTGAAATGTTTCTGTTATGTCTACTCGGTATGGTAAACAATAAACATAACACTCACACAACACTATAGAATAATAAAACAACTTCATCTTCATCATCAACATAGGATACTTGAAAACTGAAGAAACCGCTTTGATTTCTCGCTGCTGTTTCGGTTTTTTTTATGTTTTACGAATCGTTTCGTTTTTGGATTAGGGAGCAGAAACATTAACTAAAACGAATATGAATGACAGAGATTGCACCATTTAACACCGTTCGGTCTGAATTGTGTTTGACGAGGAAAAAAATCATGCGCTTTTTTTGCGATAAAAATTGGACGCAGAGACGTTGTATGTATGCACAACACAAATGAGTGAAGTGTCTTTAGTGAGGAGGAAGTTGATACACTTAAAGGTACTTTAAACAAATGGAATGTAGATAGATTTATCAAAAGCAATTGATAGATATGTATCATAACATTGAATGGAATTAGGCTTTTACATTTAAAACGCTAGTAAGTTTAAAGATGAACACCAAAGTAACACATTATTGTTTTGTTCAGCTTGTCCTAGTTATAGAACGCACGTGTTTTGATGACGAAATATTAAGTAATCAGTAAATATTTAGGGTAGAAATGATAATATGAAGATACATTAGGTTGGATTTCTTGGGTTTTTTTTCTGCGTGTGATTTTGATTTTTCACTGTGTAGATAAACTGAATTAGAACGATTTTTGCATTCAGTGTAATCCAACCAGTTGTATAGAAGAGTGGTATACAGCGGATGTCCCATAAAATGTTGGTGAGTATTTCAGAAAAAAAAATGGTTCAAGCTAATACCATTATTTTTGGGCAAGTTAAAACAAATAAATCCAGTTAGAATATGTCAACCTTCATATTGTAAACCTGTACAATAGATATCAGAGTTAACATGCTAAAATAAAAAAAAAAAAAAAACGTTATTCTGCTGCAGGAAAGTTCTGGCTCGCCTTATGTGCGCTGGCGCATTATTATGCTGTAAAATATCGCCGATTCCATGACGTTTTGAGAATAGTTGAACCACATCTTGTCTTGTACGATTCTTCCAACAAATACCGCAAAACATCTCCGTTCCGCGACGAAGCAGTTCACGAAATGCTCTCTTTGTTGCATCCACTGTTCGTCCTCCGTCATTGTTTGGTGGAGACAAAATCGGGACTAATATGAAAACATTACAGTATCTCATTGTCGCAAAGCCCAATAACAGTGATAGTTTCAGTGGTGTCACAACAAAAGGGGTGCAGAATAGTGACGCCGTGCTTTTAATTGGTAGACATTAAACTGATGAAGGACTGTGTAGGCGGTTACACGACTCCCAAACAATGCACTGATCTCTACTGAATTGATTTCACATGCGTATTTATCGTATACGACAGTCATCCCTAGCCGTTGTTTTTGGCCTAGTTTGATTCGAACAACTTATAAAATATATATAAATATATATATTGCCTTAACGCTTGCAACCAATACGCTGTGCCGATCGACGCCGAGAGCCCCAGTCTTGATCATTATATAACATTTTCCTTAGTATTTGTGACATTCGCGGCATATAAAGTTGATAATGGCTGGAACAGGTCTTAGTTCGATTTATTAATAAAATTCTAGCGGTGAGACCAAATAGTCATAGAAAACCTCGTGGCGCCGTTCCGTTATTACGCTTGCATGAATGTAAAATATTGCCGTTTTGTTATAATGAAAAAAATTTAATCATTTCATTCTCAATAGATTTCAGGTGTTTGTTAGGAAAAACATGTTAACGTTTCCTTTTTGATGTTTTCTACGTGTACGACTTACCTGATATAACTTTGACCTATTGTAGAAGGTCAATCCATCAAATGTGTTCTCGGTGAATTGCTTGCCTTGGATCTCGTCATACTGGAAGGATGTCATTCTATGGGCTATGCTAGATACTAAGATTACACGGCAGTCTGGGCCTGATGTCTTCATAATCGGTAAGAGATGGGCAGTCAGCAGGAAGTGGCTCAAATAATTCACCTGTTGGGATTAAAACATGAATAGCAATACTACAAATAACAGAATTACGAATAAATTGGTTTTATTTTCACTTGTCTTTCCAAGTCACTCGGACCATGCGAAGGCAATAGATTAACTTAACGCGTGTTGCCCTATCCCATGCTCCAGTGAAACTGATTGAAATGAACAATGCGACACGAATATCATCACATGACTACTGATTGCCGAAAGATAGTTTAACTACATTTGCCAATATTTGAGAAAAAAAAACTAATGTAAACATAAAGAAATGCAACTTTTAAGTGATTGATCAGCAACACTCCTGTCATCTTACTGCAAGATGCTTGTGAATGGATAAGTGTGATCGTTGATTAATATTGTGAGTCTTCTTTCACTGTCTGTTAACTGAAAGGAGACTGTCAACGACTTGTCAAAGCAACAGAACAGCTCAAGTTGTTGCTGTTTCTAAGACTGTTACTCCTTGTAACTGTAAGACTGTTGTTACTCATTGAGAAAAAATATGTCGTTCTGTCGATGGTGGATGAAAGGTTGTATTATCACATTGCTATACAAAGAATTCATTCTTTGAACCGACCGTGCGTCACTGTCCTCATTTTGAGTTAGCAGCGTTGCTTGTTTCGTAAATTTCTTTCAGAAGCATTGTTGTGCAACTTTCACCAAACTGGAAGTCCTACATGGAAATTAATCTACCGAATTTAATTTCAATATATAATTATTCTTTGGTAATTAGTATCTAGCTTACAATACATTATCTAAAAAAGTAACTAAATACAATGATGTGTGAAATGCTATCTTAGTGCAATGTGTAAGAGAATTTACCTGAAACAGGAATTCGTTTCCATCTTCGGTGTATTCTGTAATAAAAAAGTAAATTATGAAAGAAATATTTGTAAAGTATATTTCAAATGCATTCCAATGAAATTAACATATAAACATTTTTTTTATGCTATGCAATGATATATGCTTAAGTTATCTTCCTTACAAATACTTCTGTTGCCACGTTCTCAACGGTTAACACACGGAATTCGACGCTAAATGATGTTATTTTGTCTACAATTGCCTAGTATATGGTGGACCTCTAACCCTGTACAAATGTTCAAGGCCCTAGTAGCTTTTGTGAGCTCCATTGTAGCAATCAAAACAGCACACCTCCTCAATGTGTCCACAAATATGTTAATGAATACCCGGAGAAAATTTTCCCACTCTGCTTGTATCGAAGGTACTGACCAATTCTGAATAGGATTCCATTTGCACACAAGAAGTTTGCGATATCCTTGCGGTATGTGGACGTGCGTTAGTTATATTGCAACTCAAACCCCTTGACAAGGAGAAAAGGAATCATAAGTGGCCTGAGCGTTTGATCAATGTAACATCATGTTGTTAGTCCATGTCCAGGGCCATCACCACGGAAGATAAGGAATACAGGCTGAATGTCATAAGCAATGCCACCAAAAATGAAAGCTGAGACACAGTTCCATCTCTCTGGTGCTTTTTATTTCCGGTTATGTTTGGCTATCTCAACACCACGGAAACAGTACTGAATATTATAGTCCAATCATCCTAATTGCGTGTTTTCCACATAAAAAAGTGACACTTTACTTCAACAATAAGATGGTCATGGAGCGATTTTAAGAGAAAAATATAACATATTTATATATATAGAAACCGTTATGACAGAACGCACATATTTTCATAAGGGTGTGTGAACTGTTGGTAATTGAAATCGTTCATCAGATTCCTGGCAGACCTCGTCTTGATATCACAAAACCGTATCAAAGACTTTGACAGGACTCTCTGCGTAACGTGGCCAGACAGCAAGAATCTCGTAGAATGAGACTAGCGTCTTTGAACATTCCGTTTGAAACCAGTTGATGCCGGAAATTGGTGCAATAACGTAAACGACTGTAACGCAATGCTAACATTGGTCCACAATACAGCCGTCCTGCCCTCGCTTCTGCTCTACGTTCACGACGTCAGATGGTGTCAGACCTGATCCTTGGGTTGGGAATTCGAGTGGTTTCCATTGCTATTACTGTGATAGTACGGAAGTTGCTGCGTATGTTTTCTTACTCGCTGACCACAAGGTTTAGATTGTACTACAAACGGTTGCCGCCATTGTACACGTGTAATTTTGGTGCTAGCATGCTTTATGAGTTGAATGTAACCCAGCGAGCGACCGTGCGATAGGGAGGTGAGTTCATGTGTAAAGAACAAAATTCATAATTACAACCGAACTATAAAGCTGATACCCATTTGAGGTTGAGAAACACAAGATATATACATTACATTTTTGTGACTACATGCCATTATTATGAATTAAGCGCATGAATAAGCAACCAACGCTAAAATCAATACAGTTTATATAAATTACTTTACTGGTAATTATCAGAACACAGTTCTTACCTTGTTTGTGAACCCCTATACCTGCGTTACATATAAGGGTATGCAGTTTGAGTCCACTGGCTTTGAACTCCTCAACAAACGTCATCACAGACTTTATGGACGCGTTGTCTAGCTTCATGAAGGACACATTCAACTCTTCCAGGTCACACACTCCTTCTGTTACATTCTTTTTCTCTTCAAGGAACTCTGTGTTCATTTGTTTGATAGCCTGATGGAATACATAGTTATATTAAATCAGTGTAGTGAGATAAAAAAACAATTAAAGTGTTTCCGAGACCTCTTCCTAAGATAACAATATCATCTTGTTATCGTAATATATTTTTATCTCATAATGGATTCTTTTCAACTTGTGTTTTCAGCTTTTAGATCGGTACAGATTAACATAATCAGATAAGGAAATAGAATATATTCATAAACATGTCTTCAGATGTTATAGAAATATATTGCAGTTGTCGTTTATATCATAATAGTATGAAACAAATAACATGCAAAAGGTTTTGTTTTAAACAATCACAGAGAATCTCAAACAACAAATCCAGTGCTCTTCTCTGATTTAATGAACATCACGGTGCCTCAAACATTGACAGAACCTCGTGCGCTGTCAGTAGGATTCAAACCAAGGCCCATGAGTCCAGAGATATACCAACTGCATCATATAGTCCCATAGGCATGCTATCACATGTATTTCAATAGAAAACTCATTGTTACCTTTGTTGCCTTCTCATCTGACCGACAGGCTATTATGACTTTGGCTCCCATCATGGCGATCCATTTTGCCGTGTGATAACCGATACCTACAGGACATGAATAACTTAATTGACATGTATATCCTATATACTGACAGATTTAAGAAAAAGTCACAATTATACCGTGAAAAGATAGCAAACTCGACGAAGGCAAAATATATCGTAGACCCTCACAAACTATCAAGTTATCCATAATGATGAACACTTCCGGTATCACACATGACATCTACCATAAGATCCCGTTCATTATTTGGGGGAGAAATCACAGTATAGCAATCTGCAACGATTGTGTTTATAACTGTTGTTTTGTTGGTTGTTTGACAGCATTTAAACATCGAAGTCAAATTAAGACGATGTGAGGTTAGACATTACCGAAAAATGGGTTGATAGGCCTAACTTATCAATATTGCTTTCATAAATATCTCCTATGCATAAGACGACAGAATATCAGCCACACCTACCGGGGCCTGCATTAGAACCTCAAGAGGATTATGGTAGGAACTGAAAGCATCAATGATTGTACAATTGATATACGGGAAAAGCATCGTACCATAAACTTTGATACAATAGAGCCAAATTATGCTCTCATTTAGGAATGTGATATTACTTATTTGAATCAGCATCAGTAATTTATTTTAATGATTAAATATCTTTTGAAGATCGTATTTAAGAAATTAATATTCCACCTGATATATTTTAATAAAATTTATCTATCTATCTATTTCATGATTAAACATCGTCAAACCTGTAATCTTGTATACAGACGTAAACACTGTGTGTATGTATACACACCTTGTAAACATCAATATAGCTTTTGTAGGACGATATCAGTTAAAGATAAGCCAAAAATAAAACGTGTCTGTACCTATCAGGAATACATTAGAATGATGTTTTAACTACTACATGTCCAACGGAAGAAAATTGATTGATTTAATATCTATCCAAGAAAGGTATCACGTTAATGTACATATATAACCTGTACATGTATAACCTCTCTCTTGAACAAGGAAGTAAGTGCCTTTCATTAACACATGTGAATACCTACCTTGATTTCCACCTGTGATTATCACCACTCTATCTCTCGGTAGAGAAACTCGCGGAAAGGAATGTTTACCTCCCATTTTAAGAATTAGGTGAACGCTTTCCTGTCAATAAATGCGTCTTTAAACATTACTAATGTTGTAGTATAGTTCAGTTTCAGTACATACACAAACGATGACCAGCCACGCGTGACCTGTATACATGTGTATCCTCAGTAGACCATGTTGTGTATGATTGTCTTCCTTCCAATGACGTCATTAGTTGGTCATCATGATGCAGCCTGATGTGCCTATAACCCGGACATCACCTTATACAATATCTCCGTGTTGGGTCCAAACACAAAACACGGGGTATGTGCTCATGCTGTGTCGCCTTACCCGGATATACAAGTGTTTATTCACCGTGACTAGTTTACAATGTACGGTTTGTGGGAACATGTGTGCGATGTGTATACACATGTGCTAGATCTATTGTTGATAATTTGGAGAGTAAATGGCGCGTTCATGTCATGATAAGGACTTTTCATATTTTAAACTTGTGAATAATGGACAAAGTGTTTTAACGTTCAGTTCATTTCACTGCCTTCTCTGTTCTTAATTTTCTTCGTTATTTAATTTATCATTTGGTGCTACAGTATCCGATTGTAACTCGTACGGGAAGTTGCTGTGAATTGGTGTGTTTACATAAACAACGTTTTATTGCTAGCTCGTCTGGTTGTCTATCAAAACATTTCTTCAAACATTTTACTACCACTCTTTGTACTATCTAATCATATTTATAGTTTTCTTGTGATGTTGTTTACTCAAGAGGAGTTGGATTATTTAAAATTTCCTATTGTTATTTTTTTTTCAATTTTCGATTTATTTTAGGACTTGTTCCCAGTCTCCCAATTTTGCCGGCAACTGGCAGACAAACTCAGGGTTTCGAGAGATACAGGTTGGGGAAGGTTTAGGAGAAGTTTTACTGTCGTCATAATAATCTCATCCAGAGATATTTCTGTCCGGTTTCTGATTTCCCTATTCCATAACTGTTACGTTATGATTCCGTTCTATGGATTTCGGACACAGTTAGTAGCGATCGATACGTATTACGTGGTTTCTTTGTATGTATTATGTTGTATGCTGGTATCTTTAAGAGCTCCGGTGGCAAGAGCTTCCAACAGTCTTATGTAATACCTAGGAGATCAAATTAAGTCCCTCTTTTGGTCTATTAGCCTTTCTGTAGGCTGTTGTATAAAACGGGTTACAAAGACATTTTTGGAATATTTTAGTACAGGTTAGTAATGTCAATAGAATAGATGTTCTTATAACACAACCGGTAGAAGATTAGAGTGTGACATTACGATAACGGTCACCTTCATCTGACAAATGACCATTGTGGACCTTGCCAATTCATCCCATGCATGAAGATTTTTTATTTTTTTTATTTTGGATAGATAAAAATACATCCGCTCATCCACATGCAAATGTTTTATTTAAACCATATCCGAATTAAAGATACAAAACAATAATTATTTGGCTCACAATACATAACCAAGATGTTTTCGATGTCAAAATGCTAAATTTATCTACAGACAGACTAACATTTACAATTTACAGGAAAAATTATATGTACTGAAAGATGACAATTACTTCAACTGAAATCACAATTTCTTACAACGCCGCCTAAAATGTGAATGCTAATTATGTAAGGATATCTCCTTTCGTCAACCATCTTTCATATACTCAGACTCGACTCGCACACAAATGATTTTGAAACAACCAAATCAAAAAAAGCTGGGCCATGTAAACATCATTCATAGACTCCCAGTAGTCATTGACTTTCCCATCCAGCTAGGCATCGCGACTTATACGTACAAAAACACTCTACAAGAAAAAAATGGAGCAATCCACTATCACGAGACAACGACAGGGCCACAGTTAATAAAAAAAAAGGACATATATATTATCACTTGTTATAAAATTCCATTTAAGCACATAGAAACGCACATGTCCTCACACTCACTCACCTTCGCACATGCATGATTATAAAAATTGCCGGTCATTCCAGCCCTCAGTCCAAATGTAGGTAACACTGACTGGCACCTCTCCCAATCTCATGGTATTCATCAGTAGAATGTTCGAGACTCAAACAAAGCAAAACGTATTATAACTGGAATATTTGTAGGCTGGAACATATGTCACAATTACTACTGAAATTATAGAACTGCAGCACGGTACAATGACAAAACGTGCACAGTAATATACACAATATATTGATAAAAAATATTAACTCTTCATCAATATTGTTTACGCGCGTTAGAAAGCAGCCTACCCTACTTGTCTTGATAACGAAATGAGCGAAATGACAGGTAGGATTGCTAGGTATGGTCAAGACGGCTTAATGCAATCATTTGCCGCTCGATAAGACCACTCGCAGGACAAAGCATATTGTTTTGTGAAATGCTCTGTTGTGCTACAATGTTTTCATCATATGTAAGCTATCATGGTGTTTGTCGCCATGTGAACCTTAGTGTTGTTTGTTTGTTTAGTTTCCTTGGAGAGACCATGGTGTCTACGGCGACCATCGTACAGAACCACGCTTTAGGTTGCTCTTGACGTTGCCGTTCAGCTCACTTTTGACGTCATCCGTAAGGTAACAATCCAGACTATCAAGAGTGTACTGCCATAGCGATTCTTGGTACGCAACGTTTCTAAAAACGAAAGGTCATCATAATTAATATTAATTTGCTGTTTCTTACGAGTAATATTTAAATTAATCGTTTTTTCATTATCAAAATTTTAATAATGCTTAAAAGAAATGTTTAAATTTCATGAACCCGTAGCTGATGAAAAACACGTTACAATGTAAGAACCAAAGCAGATAGCATTCATTTTACTGTTAATTTTAACATGGAATTTAACACAAATGTACCTTGCAGCTTCTGCCGGACACTCGCCTCTACATTTAACAAAATACACATCCCTCACTCCGGCTAAGTCAGGATTTATAGCAGCATTAAGGGTTGTCTGAGCTCCTTCAAATGGATCTACGGAGTAACCTTTTACAACAGAAATGGTATATAAAAATCAGCGTCCACTACCAACGTATTCAGCCTTATCGTTAATTGAATCAAAAGTTTATATTTTACCATTTCTGTAATACTGTTCACTTTTATCAAAATACTCTATCCGTATTGTTAACGCCACTGAAAAGTTTAACGTTTTTCTAGCAAAAACATATCTCAGTCGGATTAACAGACACAAATGCGCTGTAATGATATCACTGATTGGTTAAAAAGTCTTACACCTTAAGATGAGCGATATAGTGATTCAATCCTCGAAATTTCAACGTTATAACCTACATGTTTAGTTTTTCTCTGCTTATTCTTCCCGCGTTAGGATTTCTGTAAAAATGATTTTTGCAGCTGTTTATTCTGTGTATGATTAATAAGGTTAGGTTTAAGCTTCAGTTATTCAGGGATTTTTTTCTCAAGGAAAACGCCATCCTATGCTTTTTTTCATGGATAATAACAATACGTGACCAACCAAAATAACAGAAACGATCCAGCAATGTAGATGGCAAAATCCTCACCAATCAGCTTTGCCATAAACATGCCCACTCTCATAGTTGGGAAGTCTTTGAAATTTCTTTCTAGTTCTGTTCGTACCACCCCTGGATGTAATGACGTAACAGTAACGTTTGAACTTCGGAGTCGACGATTCATGCTGTACATCTGCATAATCTAAAACAAATTTAATGGTATTGTTTAAGTATAAGAAATCAGTTAATACATCAGGTTTATGAGAGCAAGGTGAGTAAATCTATGACTTGTTATCTTGAATCTAAAAATAACTACTAATTATTTCACTACTTATTCTTTTGTTTGTGTAAGTGACGAGTGGTTTCCAACCTGATTTATAAAATATTACGCAATCGTCAAATATCAGCTGTTTGGCTATCTTGTTACTCCGTTTGGTATTATAAATAACTATTAATCGAATTTTAAACTATTTCAAAATTTAACTTCTATATCATCAACACTTATAAATCATTAAAGCTCAAATAAGAAGATACATCAACTTATGTGAATATGATACGCAAAATGTCCGCGATAAAAAGAACAAGGGGAATTTGAATAGATGGATTAGTAAAAAAGGGATTAGTAAAAAAGGGATTTTATTCCAACCATTTCTTAGGAATTCTAGAGTTTCCTGAATAACGTCGACACAGGCAGAACAATGTTTTACAATTGATACAATTCTGCAAAAATGATTAATGACTTGATTATAAAAATGCACACTGTCTTACCTGGTATAGTTTTGAACGGCCGTAATACTGTAGTCTATCGAAAGTTCGTGCTGAACACTGTTTGCCATGTATAGTTGACAGTTCAAACTTAGCAAGGCTGTGTAGCATGCTGGATACAAGTACAATACGGCAATCATCTCCTGATCGCTTCATAAGGGGAAGTAGATGTGCCGCAATCAAAAAATGGCTAAGGTAGTTCACCTAAGGATTGGAAAATTTGAGAATGCAGTTTTGCCAAGGAAACATTATCTATTTGATTGTATTGAAATAAATGATAAGTACTAGTAAGGACAGCAAGATAAATGGATTCTGAGAATTCACTTAGAAGTGTTAAATTCTTTTCCTTTATCTTTAAAATCGTTAGAAATAAGTTCTTTTTTGAAAAATACATTGGGCTTACCTGAAAATGGATTTCGTTGTCGTCTTCGGTAAAAGCTGTAAGAAAATTATTGAGTGAATTGAGTGGATGTTTAATTTTTAAAAGCAGGAAGAAGTTGTTAATGTTCAAATCTGTAACACAAACGGTATTATCAAATGTCCCTAATAGGAATATATGCTTATACTTTGGATATTCGAGAAAAAGGGTTTCAGCTTTTGTCATTGCAATCGGTATCCTTCTTTTCAGTTGGCAGACGATAACAGTTTATTTTTGAAAATGTCCATTAAAATGCCTTTCTTTCAAGGAATTCCGCGTCTTAGCAACAGTCAGGGTCGTATATCTACAGTATATTTCTGGATAGCAATATTCCTACATCCCCAATCTAAGTTGTTTAAATGTCGCACTTGACTCGATATTCAAGGGCTGTTCCCATTATCATGATTTTTGTGGGAGAAGTCAACTGACGGACAAACTTGTGACACATGGCCTAAAAAGGGAAGTTTACGGACGTTAAAGTGATGTTATTGAGAAATATTGCTTCTTTGTACGATATGAAGCTGGACGTGTTTGATGCTAGTAAGGTTTCCTGATGGTTATATTGTCGTATGTCATTTTAGAATGAGACTTTTCTTATGTTTACAGGGCGGGTGTCGTCCGTGAGGCAGATACGCTTATTCTTCCGAATCACCTGGGCCCGTATTCACGAAACCGTTCTCATGCTCAAGGATGAATTTTGTGCTCAAGCCGTATGTCTTGTTCAAGTTAAAAATCGACAGATAAGACTGATTTTGCCAAAGATTTCTAAAAAATGTTGAAAAGACTCCAGGTCAAAGTTATATTCAATGTTTATATTTGACATTTGTAATATTTTATACGGTTTAGGAGAATTATAAAAAAAGTTTGCTTGAGCACAATACCTATGCTTGAGCATGAGAATGGTTTCATGAATACGGGTCCTGATCTTATACTTGTTTTTTTAATAGTATGCGTGTAATCATTCTTTTGTTTATATTTTGCCCTCGTTTTAATGAATTGGAGATTGGATTATGATTATATTGACATGTTGGTATTGTCTTGTTGTTTTATTGAATCAGCCTTGACCTAATTTCTAGTTATTATTCAGTAATAACCGTGACATAGTGACGTAACATCTTCCCGTTATCATCATGCAAGCTTACCTTGTTTATGCATTCCGACACCAGCATTACATATCAAGACATGGAGGGCAAGACCGGTTTTCTTGAATTCGTCAATAAACTCCATTGTTGATTTGAGAGAACTACAGTCCAACTTCATGAAGAAGACTTTAAGCTGCATTGCGCCTTCGAGACCTCCAAGTGACCCCTTGGTCTTTTCATGTTCATACTCTTTCTTCATCCGGAAAATCGCCTGTAGAACATTCAATAACACAAATCGTGACGCTTCAATGAATTTACCCCATGTATTCAATAATGTGTAATACGTCTCTCTTTTATTTAGTGTATGTTGGTGTTGGTGGTGATTTATGTTTGTGTGTGTGTTTGTATGCGTGCGCGTGCGTGCGAGCGTTCGAGCGTGCGTGTGTGTGTGTGTGTATGTGTGTGAGAACATCAGATTTAGCCTATGACAAAGTCATTTAGTTAATTGTAACCGACTTGTTGGAGAAAGGGAAGTCAATAGGGATGCGCAAGAAGACCAATCAAAGTACAACTTTATAAAAAAGTTTCATCCAAATAATATCATACTCTCAAAATGAATATCTTGGATGAATGGTACTAAATGCTGGAAACAGAAAGTATATAAAGGTGAATTACAGTTAAATTTTATTAACTCTCATGGTCCTGAAGTTGGCGTAATCTGAACTTTTATGGTTTATTTCATTTGAATAATGACAAGAAAGATATGTACTTGAAGTTTTTAAAACCATCTGATATCTGAAAATACTTAATTTTCTTCTTATTTGTCGGGCGCATCAGCCTTCCTCTCTAGATTTTTCATAGCTCTTTTGATCAATTGAATTTCTTCAGCGTTACTGCTGTTTATACTCATAGTATCTCCGACAGGTCATAATTAGACGGAACAATTAGATAATGCGACGTTATTCACTATTTGGTTCTTCTGTGAATAATTCTAAATCAAAACTAAAAGAAGAATTTCTCTTGTACAATCCGTTATGTCAATGCGGCAATATGTAGCTGCTTCTGATAGTATTGTTATCTAATGATATGTGATGTTCAGGTAAATGAACATATTATTAAGTTTTAGACCGGCATTAATAGATATTCGCATTTGTTTCCTTGTTGCATTGCAAGCTGTCCAGCGAAGCTTTGTATGTTATAGGCGATGCTGCAGTTTAATTAGGCATCAACACGCAACTGATGTGCTAATGACTTTATGTGTAGGAAGATTAACTATACAATGACGCAGTACTTAATATGATTCAGTTATTACATGGATTTTCTATTTATTTCCGCTTGTATCTCACATCATTTACTGTAACCTTGTCATTCAGTACACAGTTGTTCAGTTGACACCATTTTCCATCTTTGTTACTTGAATAGGGCTGAGTGTTTCCTACCGAATCTTGTCGGTATCGAATCAGTCTATGCTGACGCAAAATATCCCATCAAACATGAATCTATTTCTATAAATAGGAATAATAGCTTATTTGCGTACCTCTTCTGCTCTGGTCTTCGATCTGCATGCCATTATCACAGTTCCCCCTAACATTGCTATCCATTTTGCTGTTTCGTATCCGATGCCTGCAAAATAACAACATATGTTATCGTCATAAAGTTTGTTTTTAGATGGTCTTATGTAATCCAAAAATTACAAAGAAACAGAACTGCTGATGGGAGTTTATGTTTGAACTTTACAGTTTAGTCTGACTGAATGCCTTACCTGACGCCCATGTGAGATTTAATATTGATTTGATCATATTTATCTTTAAAACGAATGTGTTATCTTACATTCTAGCAGATCTCATGAAATCATAGTTATGGAAAAAAAAAAATTTCAGAAGGGCATCTTGTACTTATAGCGACTTTATCATTCATGCACACAGTACCGGTAACATTTGGGGCAATGTTAATTAGGAACATGATGATATTGAGCGAAAAATCCCAGCTTTTACGATAGAGTAAATAAAGTAATGGGAACTGCAGATACATACAATGGCCTACAAGAGCATTGTGACGTCACAATATAGGAGGAACAGTTGCAATTATAGTCTCGTAATTGCCGCCGGCGCTCAGAGTCACCTCTTGTATCGTTAAACCGGACATAATACTTACACTGAGTCTTGTGCAACTCATCTCTTAAAAACTTTATAGAGAGATCAAGAGAATGGGTGACTCATATCAGAGTTACCTCACTTATATAAACGTGCCACTTTTTTTTATAAAGTTTATGATATATTAGATAATTCACGCTCAAACTAAGTATTTACATAAATTTGAAATTAAATATAACTGTGCCAATGTTCTGGTACCTAGGAGAGCAATTTTGTGTGTAACTTCACAGATAAATACCAACATGTGAACGCAGTCGTAATCCAACTTCAAATTAAAGAAAAATAGGGCAATAAAAGATTTGAATGGAGACTCATGCGAAGACCAAGGACAATAAGACCGAGTGATCCATCCAAGTAAGAGGTCGCAATGGAGAACAAGGTATACAACAACGGAACCAAGAGATAAACTTATTTGTACCGCCGTTCACCTTTCTTGGAAAAGAAAACTGCCATAAAAAGGAAAATGAAGATGATTTTTTGTTAAGAATGGAGTATGGTGGTGTACAAAGTGGAAAACCGAATGTTCTACTAGAAGAAATGTTTTAAAAACAGGATGTTTAGGACTGGTCAGAAGCTCTTTAGAATTCTTAAAAGTTTGCTATTAACTCCACTTCTTGAGTAAACAGTATCACAATAAGAATGGTAGTACGTAGTTTTGACAAAGGATTGGTTGAACAGCTAGAGGAGACAGCAATAAAACATTGTTTATATGGATTCTTGTGAAGTAAGGAATCTAATATACACCGAGGAGGTTCATTTATTTATCCTTGAAAGAAAATCTAACAGATTGTTATACTGAAACATCAGTAGCCCATGTTTCTCCTTTGGATAAATTGCATAATGTACAGGTGGGGTTTCCTTCGTCATCAAGTAAGCCTAGCACTTTTTCTATACAGGAGATGTAACAATGTCTGCAGGCAAGGATCTATGTATTTGACGCCTAATCTGCAGGCACAGTAACATACCTGTCATCACGGAAGCAACAGCAATGTAAACGAAATACGGCGATAGATCAACCTAATCTATTCTAACATCAAGTTAAGATTTGTATCAACGCGACATGACTCCTACTCTTTCGTTCACAAAGGTAATTATAAAAGCTTATCTATGCCTTATATTCCTCTGCTTCAGTAATTACAGAGGTATGCTCTTTTCAGGGTTTGCACCAAGAGTTACAGATTCAGATACGATTCAAACTTCAATGTCAATTTCATAGAAAAAAAGTTTTACAAAAACTGCATTTAACTTAAGTTTCATTTTACACAATTCTGAAAGCTCGATAAAGACTGAAGTAAAAATACCAGCTTGGTGAACACCAAAATAAGATAAAGGCTAAAATAGGATACATTTTATCATGTGAAAATGTGAAAGATATGCGCAATGATATATTGAATACTAATAAGATTAATGCTATCATATGCCAAAATTTGAAAGATAAACGCCATAATATGATGGACACTATAAAAAGACAAATTCTATTAGATAAATATTTTTATAAGACATAATTACGAAAAACTCTATAACAAGAAGAACGTCTTATTCGAGAGATAAGACAAATGTTAAAACAAGGCAAATGCTTTGATAAGACAAAGGCTATTATAAGACATAGGTTATGACGAGACAACATTAAAATAAGATGGACGCCAAAATAAACGGTAAAATGAAATTACTGTATTATGAGAAAAGTTAAGATTAGTAAAGTAAGTAAGTGATTAGCTTTACAAAATGTTGAATAGATATGTCTAAATCAGTAAGTTTTAGACTTTGTCCAAATAACTTCCATTACATGCATATTCTCTATCAGCATAAGCCATATTTTTAAAGTCTGTATCAAAATTATTTAAACATATGGACTATGCTTTTTACTGATGTAATGTGAAAAAGACTGCATTTGTGCCTTACAGTCTTAAATACATACTGTTGCATTGTGTCATATTTCAAACTTTTTTTTCTTCAAAATATCCATCGCTGTCGATAAATTTAATTTTGAATATCTGAATGAAATGTAAATAGTTAAGTCTTTTCGATTGGTTGAAGTTCTTCACCAGTCTGGAAAAACACGTGCATGTCCTCGTGCATATCCTCCTGTTTGGATTTACCCCAATATAGTTACACGCATATACATACCTGTGTTGGATCCTGTTATAATATGTACCCGGCTTGCAGGAATGGTTACCCGAGGAAACGAAATTTGTCCTCCCATCTTGTATGTCTGTTAATGTTCACTAGCGTGTTCACAATAATTTCATATGTGTTTATAGCAACTAATACCTGCGTGATTCTATGAGACTACTGGATGGAGACTGATTGAACAGAGACCATACTGAGCGTAGAAGTATCAATAACGCACGTTCCTCTGTAATAACCTGGCAGGAGGCCTTCTGGGTGATTTTCTTGGTCGGTTATTTTAGTAATCATATAGCTGTTAAATGTATCAAAAGGTCTATTTTTATTATATGAAACCTATAACAATGACACGGAAAATAGAATTTTATGCTCATCACAGAAAAAGAATTAGTGTTTTCTCCGATTCATTTCCCCACAGGGAAATAACGTCTTCCCTGTAATTTGTAATTAATGACCTTATGATCCTTAGATCGATAGTAATATATACCTGACAATCTGTCACATGTCGTTAAAATGTCGCAAGAATAGTGACATTACACGGTAAGACAATACAGTTTGCTTGGTCTCAGACACCGTTACTTTAAACAGTCAGACATTAGATATTTAGGGCTTTTCACCCAAAGGTGAAAAGACCTATTGTTTTTGTTAAGTTTCTTATTCTTCTTTTTCTTCTTCCGTATTTTGTGGAGTCCCTATCTTCAGATGAGTGAAAGAAAGGTTGGTGGTTTTGTGAGTATTTTTTTAATGAAGGTCTGAAGGTGTTACAGGAACTTTTTCAAATAGGTCAAACATTTAATATGGCCGCCATGACGTCATAAACTAAAAACATTAAAACTGCTGTAACTTAAAAACCATTCATTGTGGAAAGTTTGAGCAATTATATTATTTGTAGAGAATTTCCTTATCTAATTTTTTTTTCTTTTTTTTTGTCCTGCACAGTTACTTTATACGGTCATATAATACAATATCTGCTTTGTCCTGGGCACCGTTACCTCATACGATCATACAATATTATAATTGCTTTGTCTCAGGTGTAGTTACTCTTAACGGTCAGACATTAGAATGTTTGTTTTTTTTCTCATGCGAAATTTCTTTATACGATTATACAATACAACATCTGCTTTGTCTTAGGTGTACCTACTTTAAACGGCCATACAATACAATACATGATTTGTCTCGGGCACAGTTACTTTATACGGTCAGACAATTACAGGTTTATATTGTCTTGGGCTCAGTTCCCTCGTTATAAAACCAGACAATACAATATGCTTGCTTCGTCTCAGGTGCATTTACTTTACACAGTCAGATAATGCTTTATTTACTTTGTTCCAGTGGCTTTTTAAGTTAAGACACTGCTACATTTACTTTGTCTCGGGCGCTTTTACTTTTTCGGTCAGACAATACAATGATTATTATTGTTTTAGGTGCAGTTATTATTCACGGTCAGAAGACAAATAGTTGATATATCTCAGTCACAGTTACTTTTCACAGTAAGACAATACACTAATTGTTTTTTAAATATTGTATAAAGAGCAACACACGCAAATGTTAGCAGTCATAGTAACTGATATTATTTATGATTGGTACACAAATCCATTTAGATTTTGTAACAATATTACATAAAGTTCTTGGATGAGGGATCAGCAATGCAGTAGTATGGAAAAACCCTACCAATCACTCGCTTAAGTCGTATCCAATGAAGAAGACTAATTCCAGAAAGATTACCATTCAATACCAGGTATACAAAAATTAAAACAAAAATATATACGATTGATAAAGACATGCAAATAAGAATTATATTTTGAGGAAGGCAATGTGTTATTGCTAAAATATTTTACTGACGATACATGGAATAACGACTTTCAGCAAATTTGGCTCAATATTCTAATCAGGTTCTTATTATTTTCAACGGGAAAATCTGCTTAAAATTTCATTACATATTCAATAATTGTCAGTAGTTGAGACATCGAGTTAAATAGCGAGGTAAAAAAATCCAATGCTTAGAATTTAATGATGTTTTTATTATCGATTCCACGAAAACACCATGTTTGGAATGGAATCACTATCATTTGATGTTTGGTATCATGGTTAAAAATGAATATATCATTGACATGATTGTTTAGTATAAAAACCATTTTGACATAACGTGAGAAAAGTATATAGCCTGGGTTAACTATTACAGAATCGTCAACCGACCATGAGGAGGAAATTCAGCTGTTGCCTTGACATCAACTTCACGTTCCAGTACCAGCTTTTGTAAATATACAAAAGAAAAATAATGTTTACACGTGTCTTGAAACTAACAACATTCTAAATTCAAGTCAGAATTTAACAGTTTATTCTCCTTCCAAACATTTGTTAATTTCATCTGGGAGAAAATTTGCTTCCTTCAGAAAGTCTTTAGTGTAAGCCCATAGAGATTCCTGTTTTCGTGAATTCCTAGTGAAAAGAAAACAAATTTCAGCAATATTACATGGAGATCTTTAATCAAACTATCAAATGATGAGTGACATGATATGGTGTTTGCTGATGAAGATTGCTGTTATATTCCTGTAAGGTATGCCTTGTCATTCATTTTGTATTATATAAATAAAGACACTGTTATCTTCTTTCAGTAAGTAGGATGTCATGTCTACCATACATTTTCGTGCCGGTTTTATCTGATCTGACATTGAAAAACTCAATTTGAGTGACTCATTCGCTTAAACAGATTAATATATCAACTATCCTCTTAACCTAGTTTTTATCGACGGACGTACTTATTAGCATCTAGATAGGTTGGATACGGAGTACGACACAATATTATCAAATACAGCAGGACTGAATCCTAATATTTAGTTATTTATTTCATCAATGGATAAAAAAGATAAACACGATAGAAAAGATGGAAAATAGGAAAATAAGTAAGACAGAGCAAAAATCCTTATTGTGAAACGATAGCCATCATACAACAATCATATTAACAATAATACAACAGCTCTATATTTACTTTGTTATGAAATTTCGAACAAATTGTGCAATGCGTGTGCCTTTAATGAAGCTCTGGCATTGCTGTTAATATGAGATAATGAAACTGAAATGATCAATGGTAAATATGACTTCTTTTTAGCCTCGAAATCAACCCCATTTTTCTGAAAATTTCATTTGTTTAACGATTTTAAAGTTTGTTAAATATAAAGTAATTCAATAGTCAACATTTATTGAGAATTTTTAGAAGACGATAATAACTGACTATTAATTACATGTCCTCTTTTCCAGACACATCTGCGTTATCATAATATCTAAAATAACATTTTCAAAAGAGCTGAAAATGATAACCATTGCGATTTTGTACATAATTTACAATTATCACTGTAATTTATTTTGCCACACAGCGTTTTATGTTTGGAAATAAATTATTTCTTACCTTTTTCACATTGTTTGTTTTGAGCAAGGTCGTTAAACATGCTTTAATTGTAGATTGCAGTAATTTGCGATCAAAGCATACGTAATTGTGCTAGGTAATGTAAAATATAATATTTGAATATGATTTACCCTGGTTAACCGCTGACGGTAGCAGGATTGAAGTCACCATAATACACATCATGAACACCTTTTAGGGACGGATTTACAGCAGCATTGATGCTGGATTCAGCTCCTTCAAACGGGGTCTTTAATTGTCCTTATAAAAAGAAAGGATAAGAGATACCAAATGAGCAACGTAACGACCGGTGATATGTTCCACGGAAGTCCAAATTTCAAATAAGAATTTTTCAAAATATCAAAATACAACTCGGAGGACAAAATGGTGTATTCAGAAAGTGTAATGGTTTCTAAATATCAAGGGTATGTATCTGTAACGAAAGATATTTTCTTTGTGAAAGTCGAATGAAAGGCCATTACAGTGTATGACACCATCATAATTGATAGAATAGTTATATACATGCTTGTAATGAATTGATTAAGAATGGAAAAGAAACCATGCATTACATGTGATAACTTTAGGAAACAGTCAACTGTTAGTTCACACTCACCAACAAACTTCAATACACTAATACAAAAAAAATAACTTCATATCCTTTGAATTCCTTGTCACTTCAGTATCCACATAGCCCTGATGAATGCTTAAAAAGATGACATTTGAGTTTTGAAGTGGTCGGTTCATACTGAACATCTGCATTATCTGGAAGGAAACATCAATTTTGGGTATTCTGATCTTTAAGATATTTGCCTGTGAAATGTACACATTTGCAAAGTAAGTTGTCTTAGAACACTGGAAAGCTGGTATCGTGTTTCGACCCAAATTGTTGTTGCTAATTTAACTTTTGCAATTGGTACTATACCTTTGAATACATGCTAGGCTCAAACTTGTATTTATTATTCAATTTTAAATATCCTTTTCCATGGATGGTCTTCAGTGTTCATAACATTAAATGATTAACAACAAACATCCCGAAAAAAACACTTAAAGTTCCAAAAATTATCTTCATATTTCTGCTGAACGGAACAATTGAAACTTGCTCCACAAATCAATAATTCAAATGCCAATGCCGATTGTTGATTACATTACTAGGTCTCTTCTAGCGATATGCCCTTTAACTTTCAATATTAACTAAACACTGGCGGTAGTAACCTCCGACTCAAGACCGTCTCGATTATCTGATCAACCGCAAAATACCTCGTGCAGAACTATGACTTATTTGAATGGTGTCACTATGATATCTGTAAGCATTATCAGTAGGAAAAAGCGGGTGAAAGAGTAATTATAACACTTAAAATGACACACTGTGACCAAATTATGTAACATGCACACTTGTGATATGACAACCAATCCTCAAAGTATCAGGGCAGTTTCTTTTGATATAAAGGCAGTTAAATTCAAATATAACCGTACATGATGCTGACAACTGATTTTACTTCGAATGAACGTTAGAGACAGAAAAAAAGACGTTCACGGAAGGAAAACCGCATCAAACATATCTAGATAAGTTTTATGTGAAATGCTTATCCATGTAATTGTAAAACATGTCGTTAGCTATGACTATTCAGTCTTACATGTACGACCTAAAGCATTACAAAACATGTTTATAAGATTGA